TTTTTCACTGTTATAGATTGAATAGCAGTTAGTTATCTTCAAGCAGGTGTGTCAGCCCTACAGCGTGTACTCTGCCAGTACGCTGCCATCTCCTCTACTCCTCCTACTCCATCCTCTTCCATAACCTCCTCGGCTGAGTCCTCTTCTGCTGCTGCGTCTTGCTCCACATCAACGGATAGGGGACGTAACAGTGATTAAACTGATAACAAGAGTACTAAACACACCACCATCAATGGTGTTACAAATAGCTTGGATTTAAACAAATTATTTTTTTCACTGTTATACTGAATAGCAGTTAGTTAAGCAGGTGTATAGCCTACAGCTTTGTACTCACAAGCAATTCTACTCCCTCCTACTCCATCCCTTTCCATAACCTCCCCTGCTTGGTCCCTTCTTCTGCTGCTGGCGCTCTGCTCCAATATCAACGGTGATAGCGTAAGAAAGGATTAAACTGATAACAATAGTACTAAACACACCACACACTCACTGGTGTCACAATAGCTTGGATTTAAAAACAAAAAATTTTTTTCACTGTTATAGATTGAATAGCAGTTAGTTATCTTCAAGCAGGTGTGTCAGCCCTACAGCGTGTACTCTGCCAGTACGCTGCCACCCCCTCTACTCCTCCTACTCCATCCTCTTCCATAACCTCCTCGGCTTAGTCCTCTTCTGCTGCTGCGTTTTGCTCCACATCAAGGGATAGGGGACGTAACAGTGATTAAACTGATAACAATAGTACTAAACACACCACTCCTATCTGGTGGCACATTAGATTGCACGCGCAGTGCCCCAAATTTGTTGTGATCTGTGAGTAGGTAAACGGTTGTCATACAAGTAGGTTGCAGCTTTTTGAGGGCCCACACCACCGCTATGCACTCCTTTTCAATGGCAGTGAATATACTGCTGTGCAAAGTTTACGGAAGTTTAGATAAGCTCCTCAGTTACCCATCTGCTCCGACTTGGCTCAATACTGCTCCCAATCCAAGCATAGAAGCGTCTGTATGGACGAGAAAGTGTTTAGTTGGATCAGGAGAAGAAAGTACAGGTGATTTAATGAGCGCCGTCTTGAGCTGTTGGAAGGCCTGTTCACATTCTGGGGCCTATACTACTATCTTGGGGAGGTTTTTACACGTTCCTATATGGCACTTACTGGGCTTTAGGGTCAGTCCGGACTCCCTAATCCGGTCTATTACGGCTCCTATGTGGGTCAGGTGTTCGGGCCAGGAGCTGCTAAAAATGTCTATACCATCCAAGTAGGTGTGTATCAGTGTGTAATAGGGATCCTTAGGACAGGTGTCAATCCATATCTGCCAAGTGACCCTATGTTGGGTAATATTCTGATCTAGCCAGTGTATCAGGGGCTCTTGAGGACAGGTGTCAACCATATCTGCCAAGTGACCCCATGTTAGTAACATTCCCTATTCTGCTCTGTGTCAGTGTGTATCAGGACCAATTGGATAGAGACGCTGGAAGGTATTAAACTAGATAAAAATAGTACTAAACACTCACTCCTATCTGGTAAAATACATTAGTTTGACCAGAGTGCCCCAAATTTGCAGTAAGAGGAATCAATCAAGGCTCTTCTTCCATCTCCCCAGCGTAAATCAATGCCGAAAATTGACCACTGATGAGACGTGGAAGGTATTAAACTGACTGCAGTACCAATACTAAACACACCACTCCTATCTGGTGTCACATTAGCTTGACCGCGCAGTGCCCCAAATTTGCAGTAAGAGGACCGACCAGCCTCTTCTTCCATCTCCCTGTTACAAAAATCAATGCCGTGTACACGACCACTGATAGGAGACGCGGAAGGTATTAAACTGATCAGAACAATACTAAACACACCACTCCTGTCTGGTGGCACATTAGCTTGACCGCGCAGTGCCCCAAATTTGAATTAAGAGGACCGACCAAGCCTCTTCTTCCATCTCCCTGTTACAGAAATCTCACGTCGGTATTTACCAATGATAGAGACGGAAGGTATTAAACTGATCAGAACAATACTAAATCAATACCACCTCTATCTGGTGGCACATTAGCTTGACCGCGCAGTGCCCCAAATTTGAATTAAGAGGACCGACCAAGCCTCTTCTTCCATCTCCCTGTTACAAAAATCAATGCCGTGTACACGACCACTGATAGGAGACGGGGAAGGAATTAGACTGGTCAGAACAATACTAAACACACCACTCCTATCTGGTGGCACATTAGCTTGACCGCGCAGTGCCCCAAATTTGAACTAAGAGGACCGACCAAGCCTCTTCTTCCATCTCCCTGTTACAGAAATCACTGCCATATCCATACAAATTGTACAGAATGTCCAGGATAGTTTTCCATGGACAAATGTTGTCGCCTGTTGAACGAGGTGACCTTGCTCGGGTCCCAGGTGTACTGTTCCTA